TAAGACTAACTACATGTATACCGCAGCTGTTTTAGACGACACGTGATGCTCCAACAGCAGACACATTCTTTGTGTCAGTGTATTAAGCTGAACCACATTTTGGTTTTACTTCAAGCTTTTCAATCATCCCTTATTGAAAAGACAAAAACCAGGTCGCAGCACGCACACGTAAGAGTCAGGTTTTGGAAATAAGCTACTTCACGTGAGGAGACGGTGCTTACCCACAATGCCATAAGCAATGACGGCCCTGGACAAGCCGGAGGAACCCTTTTGGCCAATTTTGGTGCGGTTGCCGAGGTCCAGGCGGCCCAGCAACTCCCACACCTCGTTCTTGCTGTACACATGCTATGAAAGCAACACACAGGAGAACATATAAACAGTGTACAGCCTAAATGCTATTCTTTTCTGCAGCTGTTAATGATTTCTCCTGCTTGTCTTCAGGAAGTGAGTCCAGTTCAGCAAAGTTAAGATAGGGGGGCAGACTATTCCCCTGTCGACTAGTTTTGCTTTTAACTTTGTAGGATTTATTCTTCACGTAGCTACTTTAACCATGTTCCTGGATACAAACAGGAAACAAATCAAGCCCAGACACTGTACATGTCAAAATCTATGGGATAAATCTCGTGCCAGCAGGAATTGAATTTGAATTGCTCAGATTGAATCTGAATGTGCATAATTTGAAATTGAATGCATTGGTTTGAAAATGAATTTTACTAAACTGAAACTGAATTGAAAGTTTAGAACTTGAATTAATTTGCTTTGAAACTGTATTTTGGTTTATTAAAAATTCGCTTTGTCTACTTTCACTTTCAGTAATTCAGATTTTTGTGTCCCACATCCTGGTCCTTGAGAAAGCCAGCCAGAGTAATCAAAAACAGATCCACAGATTTATGTTTCACTTTGGTGAAGTTTCCCTTCTGTATGTAACAGTTGATGCAATCCACTGTAAAAGTGACAAAAACAGACAATGTTATTTTAGTGCAGTGTTTAATTTTACCTTTATGTAGAAAATGTTACATTTACATGGATCACATATTGATCAGATGCTGCTGCTGACTGATCCATGATGTGATGTAAATGTAACATTTTCTACATATACAGTAGGTAAAATTAAACACTGCAATAAAATAATTTTGTCTGTTTTTGTCTCTTTTACAGTGGATTGCATCAACTGTTACATACAGAAGGGAAACTTCACCAAAGTGAAACCTAAGTCTGTGGATCTGTGTTTGATTACTCTGCCTGGCTTTCTCAAGGACCAGGATGTGGGACACAAAAATCTGAATTACTGAAAGTGAAGGTAAACAAACCAAATTTTTGATAAACCAAAATACAGTTTCAAAGCAAATTAATTCAAATTCTAAACTTTAAATTCAGTTTCAATTTAGTAAAATTCATTTTCAAACCAATGCATTCAATTTYAAATTATGCACATTCAGATTTAATCTGAGCAATTCAAATTTAATTCCTGCTGGAACAAGATTTATCCCATTAAAATGCTTTCATATTAAACATGTTTGAACTTTCACAAAAAAAAATGTTCCAATTAATTTTCAGGCAAAACTTTGCATCCTTACAAAACACAAAACAGAAYGCATTGTTCACAAATTCATTAACTTGTGAATTAAAGTTTTGTTAACTATTTACTCACTGTGCGCTAAACAAGTAATGCTACGAAAAGACAAAAACATATACAATTTCCAGGCATTTTTTTTGTAAAATATGCAAGATTAAAAGCTATGAGTGATGCATCTTTAATCAGTGATWTTTCATAATAACAAACAGAATTATAATCAGCTATAACAGGAGCTAACAAATCAACACCCAGCTCATAGACTCCAGTAACGAGCAGAAAAAAGTGATTGTGCTCATGGACGATACACTCGGGGCAGGCTCATTGATTGAATAATTTCCTCTTAGGCGCATTGTACTGTATTACATAAGCATAAACATTGGRACTGTACCAGCGGCTTACCTTATCGTCGATTATCACCAGGTCTTTGGGCTCTGTGCGGTCAATCTTTAGAACTCTGTGTTTGGTTTGTGCATGATTGCTCCCAACCAAAAAATATCTCTGGAAGAGAAAAAATTTTTGCAAAATGTTATGCATTGTGGCTTTATTTATTTATTCTAAGAAACAATTAATATTTTTTCCCTTTAAACCCAAATAAGTAGTGTCTCTGAGGTTTGTCACATCTAATACAAGATATTTAAAGCAAACAAACTGAATATAATCACTAGTGGTAAGTAATATTTTTCCAAAATACACAAATGCACAAATTTGATCACAAAATTGCACTCCAATATGTTCTTTATCAAAACTGAAGCCTTTTTTCCATGCCTCCTTTCTTTCAAACATTATTATTTTTCCTCACACAAGATTGCAAAAAAGATTGTTAGTCCAACAAGAAGTGTTAAATTGGAACATTATGTAGTGGTACAGTTTGCAACCATCACAGCCATTCTGTACTGTTCCACTCCTCCCAGTTTCCTACGGAGCCTTTTTATTTTCTGCAAAAAGCTGCATAGTCCACTGCAAAGAGAAATGATCTAACAAACTGTARTAACTTAAGTGTGACAAGCGTCTACATTTTTGATTAGAAATTTTAATCAACTACAATGAACATGCCTTACATTTTAAAGTCTAAACTGCTGAAAAATTAAACAACAAACACATACTGTTCTTTTAATATTAAATAAATTCACTAAAAGAAAGATCTATAGAAGGGAATGCATGTTTAATAAAATAAAGAAACAACAACCTAAAGGGAGTTTCTTTGGGGAAGTTTAAATGTTATGACTGTCCTATATAT